ATAGAAACCAATTTAATTATGACGGAATTGATTGCGGTAACTCACTGCTTAAGTTGACAAGGAATTCAAGATTATGTTACGACAAAATTAGAATTCGTTATTCCATTCTAGCAGAATGATCGACATTAAGATGCATTAAAGAACCTAACAATCTAAATAGAAAAAAGGACTATAAATAATATCAATACATGAATGAAAACTGCAACTTTTTCACTACCATGAGAAGCTCCATTTAGAAGTGAAATATTGTATACAACTTAACAAATTAGAGAGGAGATGAGAGGAGATGCTGGGAAAACGAGATGGATGAGAAATTGTTGTAGACGTGAAGATGAATTCCAGAGAAAGAGAAAAAAGTATTTGCTAAAGTTTTTTCAACAGATTTTGACTTTTACATCCCATATTTAAATGAATAATAAACAATATATTAATTATCAACCATAACTAAATATGCAAATATTACTATAATATCATTAAATGATTTATTTAAATATTTATTTTTTCCTATATTCGTATTGGTGCATTCATGCACACAATAGTTGCTACAAACATCTGAACCTACATATATATATATATATATATATATATATATATATATATATATATATAGGTTCAGATGTTTTAAATAAGTATTGTGTTATTGTATGCATAAATGTGGACCAATCAAAATTAAATAATTAAATAAATAAATAAGGGTAATTTAGTAATTTGTTTTGTAGCTTCCAAAATTAATCCCTATAATCATTGTATTGATTTTAACCTAATCCCTTCCATTTAAATCTTGTTCCCCTATGTATCTAAAACTAAATGTTGGCCGATCTGCAAAGGAAAAAGGATGACATCATGAGGAATCTCGCAAGCGGCTAATCCGTTTCTTTCTTATCGATGGCGAAGAGGGAGATGAGAAGGAGCAGCGAGGCTAAGGTTCACCAGTGTCCTGATCATGGATGACAGGATGACGATGACTAAAAGTACCTCTCTCAACATCATGACCACTCAACCTCACGTGATTCCCCTCCACAAGCAAAGTGGCGAAAGCAAGGGCTACTGCAACCGCCTAATCAACACCTTCCCGTGATTCGATCATCTTTAATCGGTCATCCCTGTGGTCACAATCAACAACTAAGATTCGTTTTGACCGATTTTGTCCGATTTTTCATGATTCGATCATCTTTAATTGGTCGCCCCTGTTGTCGCACTCAACGGCCATGGCTTCTATCCTATCAGGTGCTCGATAAAATGTCGCAATGAAGGAACTGTCTATCAACTTGATAAAATCAGAGTGCTACATGAGCGCAGGTGCGCTAGGGTTTTTTGTTAGGAGGCCTAGGGATGGTTAACGAGGCTAATGAGTTGTTCGATCAAGTTAAGGTATTGGGTTGTGTTCCAAATAATTATAGCTATAATTCACTATTGGAAGCTATTTCCAAGTCAGGGTCTGTAGATTTAATGGCTATGAGAATGAATGAGATGAAGGATAATGGATGGAAGCCTGATAAGTATACTTTGACATCTGTGATTCAGTGTTATTATAAAGCAGGCAAGTTTGAATAAGCTTTTGAAGTGGTTCAGCAAACTGATTAATGGAATTGGGTAGATTCTTATGTTTTCACAATCTTGATAATCTCATCGAATCTTTTACTGTTTGATCGTTTACATCTATAGAGGTCATCAACCCCAAATACATTGTTTTTGTTTATAATATAGCCTTGAATTGATGTAATTTCTTGATTTTGAAAGATAAGGTGCACCTAATTGTTTAAACTTTGAACTATCTAACCATTTGTTTTTCAACAAAGTTGTAGGTGGGCTTGTGATCACGTTTTTTCTTGAGAATTGACATGAAGAAGATAAAAAGAATCATGAATTCCAATTCTGTTGGAATGGAATCATGAATTCCAATTCTGTTGGAATCCAAACTACAATTTGGTTTTGTTTTGACAGAAGTTGATGCTTGAAGAACGGACCGCAAATTTCAAAGTGATTCTAAGCATTCTCAGAGAATATTATTCTTACATGATTTGATTCATGGCAGTTATTTTCGTTAAATGTCTAATTTCATGGATGATCAAGGAAAGAGCTATTCTTCTGATAGAAAAATCTACAATAGCATGATATACGTATATCTAATAATATATTATGCTAGAATATTCAGGTCGAATAATATACATATTTTTATTTGTTATTAGTGAGTATTTCATTGTCATAGAATATTATATAAAGTTTTTTACTTTTTAAGAATGTAATGAAAAATTTGAAGTTGTATCCAAAGATGTGTTATTAGTCAGTGTTGGCATTCTCATAGAATACCATTCTAATAAAAATTTGTATCATGAAATTCATAGAGAATATGATTCTAACAGAATAAAATCGGGTTTAATTATAAAAATTACGTTATAATTAAAATTAAAGTAATTAAAAAAGTTAGAATTTTAAAATCAAGAGAGTTAATTATCCCAAAAAATATGGAATTTTCCTTTTTTAAATTTATCTCAATTGTCTAGAATACCTTTATAATGAAATTAGATGGTATTTCTCAATTATATTTAATTTAATAATATATATTAATCACTTTCTTAAATTAAATAAAATGATTGGTTCACATTTATGCATACAATAACATAATAATTAGTTTAAATAGAATAACTTAAGCATATATATATATATATATATATATATATATATATATATATATATATATATATATATATATACTAGCCGTTTACCCGTGCCAAGCGACGGGTGCAAAACATAATCGAATGGGAAATCGTTTTTCTCTTCGGTTTGAATGGGAACATGCTATCTTCGGACATACATAGAAGAATCCTTGGACTGGAGTATGTGTGGAAGATTTGCAATAAAAGTTGAAGGCCATTTGAAGTGGTGGACTTGACCTGGACCGGTATCATTTTATGTAATAGGCGTGATAGTTAGATTGTCAATTTTTCAGTTCAGTTAGGCGGTTTGGGCATTGAACGGAAATTGTACCATAATTTTGCAGTTCATTTAGGCTGTTTGGGTATTGCACCGAAAATTGTACCATACATAATGAATGTTGTACTGGAAACAATAAATGCTGTGACAGTCCAACAAAATAAATGTACAATACACTTCATCGACATCGGAATATTGTATTGGTATAAAAACGAATGAAAAATTAAAATAAAGATTCTTAACCTTTCATCACAAGTTGCGACTAACAATCCGGATAGAAAATTTAAAAGTGATTATATTATAAAATAAAAACAAAATAAAAATTTTACGTACAAAAAGTTAAAGTTTATTAATTTTAATAAAAGATTTTGAAAATTCAAATAATACATAGAAAAATAATCAAAGTTTTCTTTCCTCAATAGTTTTTTCGCCGGTAGCCAATTTTTTTAACAATAGTTTCTCGACGGGTAGTTAATAGTTTTGTTTCAAAGAATAGTTTCTTATCATAAAAGATATCATATTCAAAGGAACACATCACCCATTACCTAATACTCCATCATTACTGTTAACGATCAATTTGTTTTTGATGATCGACGAATATTGCACTATTGGTCATATTATGTCCAATTGTTGTAGTTATTTGTCGTAAATTTAAAATAGTAAACTTGAAATAGAAGCATATATATACAAATTACAATTTTGTTTAGAATTCAATATTATTTTTCATAAATTACTAAATCTACTTGTCAAAAATATAAAGTAAGGTGTTAAATGTGGATGCTTGGTGTATAAATTTTAATGAATTACAAAAGTGAAAAAAGTTGCCTTGTGTATAGGACATTGAATAATTACCAACTTCATCTTGGATATATGATAGAAGTGCTTTCACCAGTCGCATTTCTTGCTGCAAATCAGGAAAAAAAAAGTGGAAAATGAATATTTATTGTACATCAGCCTTGGAAATTTGAGATCAAGGAGCAAAAGTCAAATAGAGAAACAAAGACTATTGAGGGTATTTTAGGTATTTAAGTTTTTTTTATCAAACCACACGTCAAGACAAACTAACAAAGGGAGGGTATTTTAGGTTTTTGATTTAGTTAGATTTTCATCAAAATGTTTGTCAAGTTGAACACACTGCAGGAGTACTATTGAAGGGTATTTTAGGTATATGGTTTGCAATATATTTTTTTTATCAATTCAAACATAGAATGAGCACTATTGAGGGGTATTGTATTTATAGTCAAAGATTACAATAAAATTATGTGTTAAGTAGAACAATAAGATGGAGTAGGATTGAAGGGTATTTTAGGTATCATATCTTTATAGTCGAAGATTTCTATTAAAGTAAGATGCAGTGGGTTGGTAGTATTAGAGGGTATTTTAGGGACCAAAGAACACAAAACAAATTGGAAATCAGTAATGATGCACAACCTTCAAAATCACGGTATATATACCTGGTTATATACTTCCACAGACTTGCAATTAACAACCATACTGGTATAATTATTGTCTCATGTTTTCTAACTTCCTGGGCTGCAATGCCCCTAAGTTCAAAATCCCCATAATTTTAACTTCAACTTCAATCTTTCCATCCTGCAATCATAACCATTATTTAAATAAGTGGAAGTTCATAATTGGGTTTTGAATTATGTATATAAGAAAATTACCTGGTGAAAGTGTCAATAGAAACTGTAAATGTTAGTAACAATTAATTAAATATCATGAAATACTAAAAAAAATTTAAATAAAATAATTTTAAATAAAAAAGAATCAGAATTCAAATGCCTTTGGGAATGCTCAATTCCATTCCATTCTTTCGATTCCATCATACCAAACAAAACAAAATAATTCTTAATGTAAAAAAATAACTCGATAATAAATGAAATAAAAAAAAAAAAGATATTACCAGGACTTCAAAACTAATTTTATTAAATAAATAAATTAATAAACAAGAAGGGTATAAATAGCAAAGGAGAAAAGTAAGCTACCCTACTTTTTGGCCAAAGCCTAAACCAGGGACAATAGAAATGCCAGTGGCTTCCAAGAGCTTGAGGCAATAGAAAACATCAGGAAATTTTTCCAGCACTTGTTGCAGCTTCAATTGCTTTTGGGGGTAGTTTTATTTGTGGGAATGAATACATGGCGCCTGATTTCAAATTTAAATAAATAAGAAAGAATTAATATAAAAAAATATGAGGTCAGAGAACAGTTTTATTGGAAAATGGCTAACCTTTTGTGAAATTACAAACAACACTTTTGCAACTGTTGAATTCATCTGTCATCATGTGTGCTCTCTTCCTTAGTGATTCAAGGATACCCTTGTTGCATTTGTTTACCAAGAGAATTGTCTAAAATACCCCTCCATAACAACAATACTTTGCAAACAAGTAATTTTATCTTTAAACTACTCTAATCATCTAATTATTATACCCTTTAGTGATGACAAAATAAGTGAATTTTTTTTTATAAATCAACAGTTTGTGAATGATGAAAATTTGAAAATGGACAATTAGGTAATTTTACCTATCTGTAAGAAACTGCTCGTACGAGATATCACCTCTGAGTGTAAGTTCTTGAGCTGAAGTACTAACTTCCAACATCCAGGTAGCAGGGTTATATCCGTCTTTTACCTTACTTACGCCATCAACAACCTGTTTTATCACAACATTCACTAAGGTTAAATCTCAATATCTCATTTCATGTCTATATGACTAATAACCCAAAAGATTTCATTTGTGTTTTAGGATCATAGTAACATTTGCAAACAAAAATCTAGATTAAAAATGTTACCTACGGTTAAATCTCAATATCAAGATCATTTAGATAAGTTCTTAAGCATGCTGCCTCCTGTGAAATCAAAAAATTGATGATTATAAATAGTTTGTTGAAATCGACTTACAGAAATCGTGAAATATCATACTCACAGATCAAGTATTGATCAGAGTAACCTGAGCCCTGGTGTCTTCGGCGTCAGCAGCGGATTCCTCCTCCTCTTTGTGTTCGGGATCATTGATAGCCATTATAGTTGAGGATCGAAGATGCTGAGACCTGAGAGCGTCTATGGTGAAAATCGAAGGCGGGGAAAGTGTGACATCCCTAAAATCTCGGCCAGAAAAGACCGATTTCATTTATGCTTTTTAAAATAATTTTCAGAGTAAATCCTTTTAATTTTAAAAGAGATGCGGAATTTGTTCCCAAAAAACAAAACATGATAAAATAGATATTTATCAAAACATTTCATAAGACATATGATTTCATTTCATATTCAAAAGTCGGGATGTCATGTTCCGATACAGATCATAAAGCATAAACGATAGCATTACAAGTCATTCAACAAATATATACATATATAGACTTGTAAACAAAACAACTTGATGTTCGTCCATCTTAAGCTCTTGCGCCACTTCCTGTAAAATAAATCAACTGAGTGGGTCAGGCTTGGGAGCCTGGTGAGCATATAGGGTTTTCAACCCACAATAATTATATTTAATTTCAACAATCAACAATAAACCCGATTACCCATTCCCGTTATCCTCACCTTACGTTCCTAAAAATAACGTCTATTATAAGGAACCTATTTCAGGATTTTTCATCGGGATGGACATTACTGCAGAGGGGCTTCCTCAACAATAAGTATCCTAAAGGCAACCATGTGGGGCATAGAGTACACCAGTGAACACGTCGTTCACAACACCTACAGGTAATGAGCCTGCTAGTGTTCCACAGGACAGTCTAGAATAGTCCGTGGTCGTCATCCATACTCTGCTGAATGACTAGATTAACACCAATAACACCGAGGCCTCTCATCTGTTTATTACACTCCAATTACCTACACATGTTCTACCCAACATATTAGTAGATAAAAATATACATTTTTATACATTGTTTAAAAACCTGTATAACATGCTTTAAGCAATACATATTCCACATAACAGATGAGGCATACACACATAACACGTATTTCATAGAGAATACATCAGATCTATAAGATAGAAGAGAGTGAATATACACTCACACGTATAACAACCAAATATATACACATAACACGTATTTTATAGGAAATACTTCATAATATTGCGTTGGAATGAAAATAACTACACACTCACTTGATCAGAAGATGATCGGGCAGCACTACGGCTTGCAGAAGAGGTGTTTCTCCGTAGATCTGGAAGATCTTCACAAAACCGGGCTCCTCGCGGGCAGCGTTTCGGCTCGGGAATAACGCTCTTCGGGATCCTCGGGGCTTCGGATCTTACTTCGGGGATCGGGAATATTACTGGGGCTTCGGGGTATGATTGGCACGCAAATCGAGGCAAAACTTAGAGAGAGGGAAGAGTTTGAACAAGAGAAAATGGCTGAATTCGAGTTCTATTTATAGGCTGCTGGGTTTGGGATTACGCGGGGCGTAATCTCAAATTACGCGGGGCGTACTCAGGTTACGCGGGGCGTACTTTGACGTCACTGCGTGCGTCGACTGGTGGCACTCGAGTATCGGTCAGACAAGTTGCAACCGACTGAGTACGCGGGGCGTACTCAAATTACGCGGGGCGTAATTGACTTGTCGAACTTCTAAATTGCGTAACTTTCGCATACGAGCTCCATTTTTGACGTTCTTTATATCCACGCGAAGGTCAGACCATACTCTACAACTTTCATTTAGACTCCGTCAGCTAATTTTGACTTTTATTTTTATTATTTATTTTTAGAAGGTCGGGACAGAAAAACTTCGTTATAAATTCATAACTTCTTCGTCTGACGTCCGTTCTCGCCTAACTTGTCATCGTTTCGCTACTAACAACGAGATCTTCGTTTCTCATTTAGATTGTTTCGGCTAAAAACCGTTCAATCTCAAATCGAGTATTCGTGCTGCATACTGCCACGTCGAAACTTCAGAAAATCATAACTTTCTCATACGAAGTCAGATTTGGGCGTTCCTTTTATGCACGCTCTCGGTTTAACGAAATCTACGACTTTCGTTTAGATTGTTAAGGCTAAATATCGCTCTATCTTAAATTCATATTTTACGTCACTCGGCGTCGTGTCGGTTTTGTCGCAAAATTTCGACAGGTCATAACTTTTTCGTTATAACTCGGATTTTGGCATTCCTTATATCTCCGGAATCCTTGTTTCAACCACTACAACTTTATGCAAAGATGTCGGGCTTATCTCACACTTTAATTTTGACGCTTATTTTATTCTTAATTCATTAAATTATAAAAATTAAGAAAATACACACATAAATCACATAATTCACAAATAATACATTTTTATTATTTAAAATTTAGTTACAAAGGTTAACCTAGACTATTACATTGCTAAAAATGGCAAGCCCAGAAACACGGGCGTTACAGAAAGGGTTTATATTGGAAACGCTGGAGAGGCGTCAAGGTTACCTCGACTGCTTTAAGCCTGACGATCGGAGTAACCTGAGCCCCGGTGTCTTCGTCATCAGCAGCAGCGACTTCCTCCTCCTCTTTGTGTTCGGGATCATTGATAGCCATTAGTTAAGGATCGAAGATGCTGAGTAGCAGTAGTCTCCGTTACAGATCTAAAAAATCATAGGTTTGATTGATCTGTTCATCACTGCCTCCGTATGAAGTTGGAAAATTGATCTGTTTATCACTATAGGAAAGGGGCATTTTGGCGGTGTCGATGTGAATAGGTTAGATGGCAGTGTGTTTAGGAGATTAGGTAAGGCACTTCTACTGTATTAGGGTGTAGTATATGATCCGTGTAGTGTTTAGAATAATAAGTATAATGCTTAATATGTTGTACTTGAGGTAATATATATGTTGTACCTCTTAATTTTCAAGAAATGGGCAATATCCTTATAAAGCATTTTTGGTCAAACGCTGAATTTTAAGTCGTACAAGCATACAATGTATTTGTACAATCAATTTATGCATTACAAAAAGAGTAGAGTACATATGGTCAACAGTTGAAAATATCAAATCTCTTGTCCTCTATTCTTAGGCTATTTTGACTCGGTTCATTCCTTATCTCTGTATTCCCCCGAATCTCGCAATTTTTGTTCACAAATCTTGGATATATATTGTTGACGTTTCCATTTCTAGCGTTTGATTCATCTTTAAATATTCAACCACCATTGTCACACCCGTCGCTTAGCGCGGGGAAACGGCTAGTATATATATATATATATATATATATATATATATATATATATATATATATATATATATATATATATATAACTTCCTTTTTTTCAAAATTAAATCTGTTAACTTGATAGTTAATTCCGCTTTGGATTTTGGAATTTGGATAGTTATATTGGGCCGTGGCTAAAGTATTCCACTGTAGAACCGAGCAGCCCGATTCTAATTTTTCTAGTCTGTGCCGGACTGCCGTTTGCTGGTTAGCCCAAATGGACCTGTGTGGCTGCTGTTCTTCAGTTTTCGCGTGAACTCAATCCAAGTTTCCCGCCTCTGCGCTCAAATTCACACGAATGACGAATCCTTTGCCATATCCACCCCATCTACTAGAGTCCTACGCATCAACTGAATCCACACCGGAGACAACTCTACATCCATTGAAGTTTACCCGGAAAACATGTCTCGGCCAATCCGACCCTCGAGGTTCAACATTTTCAGCCGTTGAGGTAACTTAATTTGTTATAAACATTGTTAATTATATGTGAATTTCATTTAGCTGTAGCGACTTATTACAAATATTGGATCCAATCATTCAGTTGGAGTTTCTAGCGGAGGATGAAACAATAGAGATTGTTCCGAACTTAAGAATGGAGCGCCTCAGTTTATTTTGTAAATTCTTGTACTGCATTATACTATCTAGTAAAATTTGGTGTTATACAACGGATGTTTCGTCATCTCATCTACTTTTGATATATTTTTGTTTTCACTTGACAATAATTTCGATGTAATGATTCTTTGTATAGTAGTAATAAACTAAACTAGGAAAGAAATGGGATAGATCATAATCAATAATTCAATACAATACAAGCATCTTGCAGCTGTTTTTGTACTCTTGGATATCTTGTGCCAATCTGGCATGTTTAATTAGCCTTTGGTTTGCTTCTTGAATATTATTATATCAATCATTATTATGTTGTACTTAGATTCTAGTATAGTTGGATATTCTGTCACTGGTCCCACAAAATAACATGCAAGTATTTTATTTTATTTGCGTTGGCGTTGGGGAATGGGGAGGGAAGAAGTCTGTTTTTTTTTCTATTGTTCTTTCTTTATTCTATATTCTCTAATGACTTTTTCTTTTTCTAATGAGCTACTGGGTTATAATTTATAATGATATATTAACATGTATTGCCGAGGAAGCTATTGTTTAGAGAGGTCAACTAGCAGCCCATGTGGGCATCAGCTCAGGTGTTTAATCCATGGATTAAGATCCTGTTTTCACATAGCTTTAGATTCCAATATTACGGATGCTATTAATTTTAATAAAAAATCACGTTTCTTAATTGGAATAAATTAATTTCATCAAAACAACAGCCAGAAATCACCGTAAAAATAATAAATAAAATAAAAATTGACCACACAACTAGGTCTATAAATATTATTGTGAGCTTCTGGAATCCGGTTTTTAAATGGTTGGATTCAACAATCCCTATGAATTGTGAGCTTCTGTATGTAGCCACGATTCTTTAATAAAAACAACTACATCGTTTCAAGTATGGTCCAATAATTATTGGATATGAATCATAGGGAACCAAATTTTGTCACGAGTATAATGTTTACACTCATCATGCACCGATTAAGATAAAGAGTATGTATGGTGTCGCAATTGCCAATTCATGTCAAGGCCCACATACCATAACCTACATCAATTCTTCAACTTTTTTTTTTCTTCAACAACTCATTCAAGTAACAAAATACTAAAAATTAAACTTTTACTCTTGTTATTAAGTTTATTGTTATTTAAAGCTGACATCATTGACTAAATACTTGACTAAATACTTTCAATTGGCATAAGGATAAGATTTATTGATTCTAAAATATGGAAAGACTTGATAACCTTTGATGGTGGCCCTGTCCCTTTGATTATATTTATATATAATAAATCACGACATGCTATCTTCATTGACAACATTTTACGTGTTTAATTTATGTTGGTGTAATATACATATAAAATATTTATTCCGTTTTTAATAATCTTTTCAATCACATAATGAAACAATTTCTTTGATCAGTCCCATAGTTATATATACTCTTATAACCATAAATTGTATCATTATCGTTGAATTTAATCAAATTCTGATATAAATAGCTGGTTTAAAATAAAAGTACACGAGAAAGGAACTAGTAGATGGATATAATGCTTATGAACTTAACCATTTTAAATGATCAATGCTTGTAGTTGAATTAAAATGATATAAGTAACATTATTATTGTTAGTGATTTGTATCACTAATATTATTACTAATATTATTTAAGTGTAATGTGAATAATTTGTTGATCAATGTTGTCTTGATAAATATGAGCAAATTAGGATGGTTCGGAGTACACATTTGTTTAAGTTTTTCTTGGTTGAAAGTGCACTGCTATTTAAGGGGGAAGCTCCTAAACCGACGGATGGTCCGGGGACTGCGTCCCTAGGAGCGAGCTCCAAGGGGTGGCAACCCTTGGCGAGGGTCGAGCTGCCTGGTCAGCTTGATTTTTTTTTTTGGATAATATTGATTTGTTTAAAAAGCATGGAAATCCGAATTTAAGAAAAGGAACCCGATTTTATGATCCTAATTCTAGACCTGGTTTTGAGGGAGGTAGTAACAATTTGAGATGGTTACAAAACTGTCATATGGTGGTTTTTGGCAGTTTTCAGACAAATGAGTTATCTCATTATATTGATCATTCTCGTTTTTTATATTCCGGTACACCAAGAGATGATAACTTCATCTTCATTCTCTGTTCTTGAATACTTAGTTTTATCTGATTAAGGATTTTCAAATGTACATTCGAAATGCTTTAATCTGAAAATGTCATTCACATCTCTAAATAATCCAAGCATTCTCAAAACCCCGAGTTCCTAACAATTATGATGGTACAACAAGAACATCAAGACTCCAATAATCCCATTAAATGGGGAAGGAGGTAGATATAGATAGTTATACCTTCATAAGAAGCGGTACTGACTATGTCAATAATAGAATCTTTGATATGTGCAACTGATATCTTTAGAAGAGGCAAACATGACAAAACAAATTAAAGTAAGCAACAATACGTAAACATGATTATGATGATACAAATGTGTAATTGAGAAATCTTTTTATTTAAATGTATAATAAAAGGTTTAATATTTAGTTATTAATATCAGTATCCAAATATTTGTATAAAATAACATATCTAATAGAAAGTATTACAATGTTACAAAGGAAATGATTAGATTCCATCATGTTTGAAAATGGGTATCTCATATAGGAATAATTTAAACTCAACCAGATATCAAATGACATCATTGATTATGCATTTTAGTATAACTACAAGTTAATTAGCTCGTCTAACAGTTAATGATTTTTTTATTCATTTGGATAGCACATTATTTTATTTATTCTTTTGATAACCAAGCAAACCTAGTTATTTACGTCATGTGGTAACCAATATTTGGAATATTTGGTAATCATTAATCAAGAGGTGATGTAGGTGTTTGTAACATACACAAATTTTAAGTATATGACATATGCAACATACATATATTTTTAATGACACAATTGACAATTTTTGTTTCCAATAGAGTGAACCAGTTCACCCCTTTCTCAATTTCATCATATCAAATAATGTATTCAATTTTTTGATATATAATTTTAAGGGTCTTCGTACGTATTTTTTGTTGCTAAAAAACCTCTCTTTGTGTCACTACATAGTGTTTATTCTTGATTATAAAAGCTTAAAAACTTTTCTTTACGACCGACTACTCGAGAACATTGAAAACTTAGGTTGCGTTTAGTTACGGAAAAACAATTTTCATTTTCTGTTTTTTGTTTTCCCTTTTCGATTTTCATTTTCCGTTTTCATTTTTCATTGAAAAATTTTGAAAACGCGTTTAGTTAAACTTATTCATTTTTCATTTTCAGTTTTAGAAAATTAGAAAACGTATTTAGATGTGTATTTTTCTATCGGTTTTCATTTTTAGAAAACGGTAGCGGTGGTAGGGTGTGGGTGGGGGCGGTGATGGTAGCGGATCGGCGGCGGCGGTTGTGATGACAGGCGATGGTGGTGGCAGCGATAGTTGTGTCAGTGGTGGTGATGGTGGCGGCAATGGTGGTGGTGGTGCTAGTGACGGGTTAGTGGTGGTGGTGGTGGTGGTGGTGATGGTAGGTCGGTGATTGTCGTGGTGGTGTTGGGTGGGTGGGGGTGCGAGTGTGTGTTTGTGGGGGTAGGTGTAGGTTTGTGTGTGTGTGTGTGAGGGGGGGGGGGTTTGGTGTGTGTGTGTGTGTGGGTATGTATGTGTGTATGTTTGTGGGTGGGTTTGTGTGTGTATGTGTGGGTTGGTGTGTGTGTGTGTGTGCAGGTGT